CCAGGCCCAGCTTTTTAAGTGGATTCTAGAGACAGAACTCAGGTCTTTAGACTTGTAAGGCAAGTACTTCACTGACTAAAGCTACCTCTGCTCACCACTGCTGGCCCAGTCTAATGAAATTCACAGCAGATCTGTGTTTCTTAATATATTCCCATCACATCAGTCCCGATTCTCATTAGAATCTGCCTTTGCTGCTGTTGCCCAGTATCTTTCCAGTTTCTTTCCTGGTTCTCAGACAAAACCAAAATTAGGGCCGAGAGATGGCTCACTGGTTAAGAACACTGGCAGCTCTTGCAGGAGACCAAGGTTCAACTCCCAGCACCCACATGGCAGTTAACAACCATCTGTAACTCCAGTTCCAGAGGCTCCAATGCCCTCTTTTGGATTCCGTGAGCATTGCAAGCACATAGTGGGCATAAGTACATGCAGGCAAAACACTCATACACATAAAGTAAAAATAAATAAATATTAAAAATTAGTCCCAAGCCAGATGTGGTGGTGCATGCCTTTATTCCCAGCACTTGGGAGGCAGAGGCAGGCGGATCTCTGTGAGTTCAAGGCCAACCTTGTCTACATAGTGAGTTCCAGGCCGGCTGGGGCTACAGGGAGACCCTGTCTCATAAAAACAAAAAACAAATAACAGTCCATTCTAGTCTAGCAAACTGTTGGCGGGTCTCCAAGGTCATGTCACACAGTTGGGACTAGTTTCACTTGTTGGTTTTGATTTAAGGAGCATCAAATTCCTACATGGTTAGCAGTATTAATAAGTCATGAGGATATTCCTTCCCCCCACAGCCCTTGATTGCTTCCCAGAATTTGAAGGTAAGACCCTACTGCTGAAGGCAGGACATACTTCAGACATAGGCCTTGGAACAATGGATCTGTAACTGACCTGGAAGCCACCTCCCTGAAGACTAGCTGCCATAGTTTTGCAGGATGCTATGCAAGCTGCCAAGGGAAAAAAAAAAAAAATCAGTGGTCCTATTGGTGCAGCAGTGGCACTCTTATCTTGCGGGTAATCAACAGTTATCTAATTGGATGTAAGGCCCACTCAATGGGAGGGAACTCATGGGTAGCATTGTAAACATAGTCAAATACAGATAGCTGAAGAGGTCATAGATCCTAGAGAAAAACCTACTTTTGACACATCCTTAGACCAATGTAATTTCTTACTGTATTCTAAATGTGAATCCTTATATTTACAGAAAAGTGTACCTCTCACCACTCATCATAAAAGCATCTTCTTGAAATAGATGGAGATTATAATAAAGTTCCTCAACTGGTCAAATGCAGAGAATAAAGTAAGTGTCTGTGAGAGGCCCATCACAAAGTGACACATCTACAATGCAACCTAAGGCTCAGGGAGCATAGCAGAACAAGGCTCAGAAAGAATATTAACATGTCTCTTAATTCTCCCCAGTGAAGCTTGCTCATATAACAGATGGTGATTAGCCCAGAAAGTCACAACTGGCCAAAGTGAGAATAAGAGATTGCAGAGTGCTTGTCCCTGAATGCACATATTTATCAAACCTCTGCCACCCAGAGCTCAGGGACCATTGCAGAAAGACTGTAAGAGCCAGGAGTGGAGGATGACCACAAGGAAACATAGTTTTCCAGGCGACTGGGAAGTTGCTCATATGAGCTTACAGCAATGGTGACAGCATACACAAGACCCATGCAAGCTTGAACCAGCATAGAAATTGGGAAATGGGTAAGAATCCCCAACCTTAGCTGAGGAACTATTGACAGCCAATGACTACAGGTAGAGGAAGAGCTGGTTTTCTTTAAGAAAATGACACTAAAGAGGTTGACTGACTCCAGGGAATGGACTCACACCAAGGGACATTTGGGGACACAAATGTGGCTTGATAAGCCTTAACATATAATGACAGAATGCATGAAATCCAGTGGGGGGCTACAGGGGAGGGATGCAGCTAGGAGAGGAGATCTAAATATGATCAAGATGTACGAAATTCTCAAAAGTTCAATTTAAAAATTGAAAAAAAAATCCCTAATACAGGCAACAATATTAAATCACACAGCACCTAACTAACCCCGAAGCAGTTAAGGCCTCTGAATACTACAGTCTATGGGAACATTTTTAATGCCTTGAAAACAGCATGCTACAGAAGTGTCAGGTGTCCCCTAAGCTGCAACTCAAGGTTTATATTGTAGAAGTTTCTTATCATCTCAAGGTCTCTACTATCACATGGCACAAGGTAGAGTCCTGGCTCCTGAACATATTAACTGTGTCAAACAGGGTAGTTACTTTGCCTCTCTGGGCCTCCATTTTGCCATCTGCAAAATGGGAGATACCAAAAGCAAATACTTCGTAAAGTATGTTGAAGGGATTAAATGAACTAAGATGGGTTAACTACTGTTCATAGTATTGGGCAGAGCGGACATCATAAGGCACCTGCTCTGGAAGGTGCTCTGCCTGCTGAAACCAGGAATCTTGATGATCAAACATGGCCCAGTGCTTTTCAGTCTCTCCTCAGTAGGCAGAGCATTCTCACTAAGCTCCCAGGAGAAATAACCTCACAGTCAATCCAGGAAGGAGTTTCCCTTTCTTGATTATAACGTGGAAAACTGCACTAAAAGGAGCAGGGAAATAACTGGAAATCCAAATCTCAAAGACCTAGGGTTCCAAGTTTTCAAAACAACTCAAGCTGGCTTTCCCAGGAACTCGTGTCTTTGCAAGTACAGGGAACCTTCAGGGGACCCTGGCCCCATCCTCTAGCCAGCTCCTAAGCTTTTTCACCTGGCTGCTGTATTCCACTGCTAAGTGCTCCCCCACAGGCCGGCAATGCCACCTGCCTCTCTGGGGCCTGAGAACACCAGCTGCCAGCATGGGAAATTCACCAGGACTCCTGACTCTGCCAGAGAAAGCCTCCCTTTGGTTCTAATTTTCTTGTGTGCGCCGGTACTCAGAGTGAAAGCTAATGAGAGTCTGGAGGCCAGTCAGAAAAATAACAACCAGTTTTATTATGTAGGATGAAAGCCAGGCAGAATGAAAAGTGCCAGGGAGCCGGGACACAGGCACAATTCAGCTCCAATCCTTGGATGCCACAATGCCAGCTTCTGCTTGGCAGCCACCTGGCTGAGACTGCATTTAAGTCTGTCCTAGTTTAGAGTCCTGGGTAAAAGTTGGGGTGGAGCACTATGTTAAGTTTCACCTCAATAAATTCAGGGTGAAAGTAGTAGAAAAGAAGGTACAAGAGTAAAGAGATGTTTGCTTGTGTGAGGAATAAATCACACAAGGCATCCACAATGCTCCCCACAGCAGTTCACCTGCAGCACCATCAGACAAACTGGAAAGCTGTGGGAATTGGAATGATTCTTCTGGCAAGAAGTAAGATTAAGGGCCATCAGAGACAGAACCAATCTCTTCAGCTCTCTGTCAGACTAAAAATGATCCATCCCATATGACTGCCATTGAAGACATAAAGCTCCTTGACAGAATTGGTTTTAATTTATGACCTGGAATTCAGGGAAAGTTATGATTAGCAATTTCTTAAATTATACAAGGCGATTTAATTTTCATTAGGCCTTTCTCAGCTTGGCCAAAGCTAAATAAATGCAAAAAAATTGGCTTCATTTCTTATTTTCACCTAAAAAATTATTATATTATATTAAGTTTTTAAACGGGAACTGGATCTTAGCCAAACTATTACATTTTGTTTGTCTTGGGCAATCAGCTTCTCGAAAATAGAAGGAGATCTTTATAAATGAAAGGGACTTTTAGATAGTTGTGGGGGAAATTAATGAGCTCTTGGAACTTCAAACTTGATATAACTTCAGTTTCGAGGTAAGGGGTGAACAGAAGAGTCTATGTCCCTGTGTCAAGGATGTAGGTCAACACTGTGACAGAGCCTCAATTACTTGGGAAATGTGACATCTTTGTGTTCTTTGATTTTTTTTTTCAGTCTCTTTAAAAGACAATTTGCTTTTAAGAAAAAAAAAACCACTTATTTCTGCCACGTTCACAAATTCCCACAATCTGAAGAAAAAATTCACCATATATAAGCAATTGAACTGAAAACCTCCCAACTGTTTCTTGGAGATGTCTTGGAAAACAAAAGATCGCATTTCAAACCAAAGGCTCAGATGGACGTCAATAGTTACAGAAGGAAGCAAATCACAGTGGGGGCCACTCTCCCCATTCTACAGATAGGAGATGCCTGCCTGTACTCAAGTCTCCTCTGCGCTTGGATTCCTATGCAGAATCCAGAAAAGATGAGCATTTTGCTTCAGGGCAGGAGGCCCAGGGTGCTGGACAGCCTGCACACACTATGAATTGCTTTCTCTCCCCAACTGCCAGGCCAGGCTAAGGAGCGGCTTGATGAAAGCCCTCTGATCTCTCGGCTCTAGAACACCGCGGTGGAGCTGCAGGACAGGGTCCATCTGGGCAAGCTGGCTCTGCAGTGCACTGTGCTCAAGAGCGATTTGCCTTGGTTCCTCCAGGCCCGGACAGCCAAAGAACTTGACTTTTAGTCACCGGGAGGCGGGGCTCAAGTAGACATCTGCTTGGGGCTTAACCAGGTCGGGGTGACTGGGCAGCCCAAGGTGAGATCACAGAAGGGTAGTAGGATCACAGAAGGGTAGTAGATCACAGAAGAGCAGTACTTCTAGCCTGATCATCTCAACTGAACGTGAGCCCAGGAGACCAGGAATCACCGGGCAAACTTTCTTCAGGAGAGCCAACTCAAGGGTGTCAGGCAGAAATAGTGTCTTGGGACAAAGGATTAATTTTGGAGAAGAGGGGAGAGATGTTCCTGAGCGCCGACTGCAGACTCCCTAAACCTTCACCTGCGTTTTCCACGCACTTGTAGGGACCTCCTCTCCCTTCCTCCGGTGTCCCCACCGATCCAGTCCCGGGGTAGGTGTGAGTATAGCGATGCTGCAGCATCGCGTGGGACTTGGGCTGGGAGGACCCAGGTAAGGTGTCCAGGGCTCCCACCCCGAAGTACCACACAGAGCAGTGTGGCCGCGGGACCTACCAGCGCGGTCAGGATGCGCCGGCTGTTCTCGTCGGTGCAGCGCTCGGAGAGGACGCTCGGGTGCACGCGGAGCAGCAGAGCTGCGGCCAGCACCCAGCCCGCGGTCCACGCGGCGAAGGCGAGGAGCGCGCCCCGCCACCAGCGCCCGCACGGTGCCGCCCGGCCCCGCGCGCCCACTGCCCGCGCCATCGCCAGCCAGGCGGGTCCAGCCTGCGCGGGGCGCTGGAGTCGCAGCTCTGCAGCTCAAGGGGCGGGGAGCGGGAGGGGCAGCGGGAGGGGGAGCTGGCCTCCCGGGCTCCACGTGGGAATCCTCTCGCGGCTTCTGGAACCCACCCACTTCTGCCCCTTTTTTTTTTTTTTTTTTTAACTTTTCTCCCTGAGACCAGTCTCTCGCTTATACAGAATCCTGGTGTCCTCACTCCTTTGCGCCTTCCTGGATTGCCTTCAGCCCTAACTGCCATACACACTTCCACCCCTAGCGGAAGCCGGGATCTAAAACCTGCGGCCACTGCACCTGCCCCTTCCCAGGACCCCACTGGACCCCCCACCACCCTCGAGGCTGCAGTTCTCTGCTCCTCCCCATACTCTCCGCCTCAACTTAGGTTTCCTCTCGTCCTCCTCAATTGAGAACCCTAGATATGGGGAGAAAGAATGGTGACAGTGAGGAACCCTCTGCGACCCCCGCATCGCCCCTTCCCAGGAGCGCAGTGGATCAACCGCTACCCCCTGGCTTAGTAAGTGCTCGCGGTGTCCTCCTAAATATGAGGGATGCGCTGTCATTCGAGCTAATCCTGCCAGGAGATAGGCTCGCCAATGAGACTCAGTCCGTGTAGGTCTGTGCTGGATGGCCAACCCCTGCTCTCCTCTTTCTCCAGCAAAGATCGAGGCCGCAGTGGGTGGCGCTTTCCGAGGTCGGCGTGGCAACATCCCAGCTAAAGGGCGCTGAAAGAGGCCGTACCTCGGGCTGAGGCATTCACTAGACAAAAGCTTTTTCAGAGTGATTTCACCGCAGCCCCATTCCAGTCGCCCTCCTGCTGCCCTGTGCTGGAATTTCTTAGGCTCGGTTTCTCCCCTGATAAAGTATTCTCTAATGGTCCCTAGGGAAATGGTGTCCTAACTTTTTCTATTCTGCAACTCTGGTTAAACTTTATTTTGTGGCTAGGTCAGGGGTGGATGTCTCCTGGAATTTCAGAACATCAAATTAAATGCTCAGCCCTAACATACACTTTGGATACACCACAAGTTAATACCCCCTAAAGGCAGCAGACCCTGAGGACTTGGGAACCACCCAGTCATTGGCTTGTTGCTGGAACAGAGAAAGTGCTGTACAATGCTTAACCACCTCCTTAGGGATATGAAGCTCTTTTCCTTTCCCAAGAATTATGTTTGGCTAGGGAGGGGGTCAGGAATCAGAAGGGAATGAGATAAAGCGTAACACCGGTGCTCCTGGGGAATCCCTTGGTTTACTCGCGAGACTGAGGAGGTGGGTAGGGAGCTGAGGTAGACTAGATATACAGTGAGACCCTGTCCGAAAGATAAAACGGAACAAAAGTGCCACCATTTCTATAGCTGTTACTTCAGAGACTAAGGAAGTTCCCCAAATTTAGGAGACTTAGAAAGTCACAAGACTCTGAGGAGTTCACGCCCTGTGGTTATATAAACAGTTAACAATGATTGTTCTAGCAGAGGATCCTGGTGGAGCTGCCTGAAAGTGAGGCAGGAAGCTCCAGGACTGCAGCTTGGTGAGTCTTCACCGGTGCTTATGATGCAGCTGCCTTAGAACCTCACCCTTTTGGGGATTTGTAAGCAATCCCCCAAAATTCTATGGTTCATTAAACTTAGACACGAGTGGAATTGTTTCCTTAGTCTGTTGTAGGTGCCCCTATACTGGGGTAAATTGACATTTGTTCATATCTTGCTAGTAAAAGTCAGATAATACTACTTAAGCTTTATAACTGAGGAATTAAAAACTATGGGGAACAGGGAGCAGAACTTAAAATTAACATTAGCATTTGAAAGTTAAGTTTTACTTTCTGAGTTTTAAAATATATTACTAAGTACACTTACCATTCTATAGACAAGTATATACAACAAAAAAATACAATAAAGAGATCCTTTTAGCATTTATTGTTGTTGGAATACAGCAGTTAGGGTATTCTTTAGAGCCAAAATAAAACCCTTAGGCTAAAGGATCTATGCAGAGCTGTCTTCCTGTATGCTGCACAAAGCCAGGTGAGGCAATGGTCACCAGAGTGCAGTTCATTTACCCTTTTGATGGAGGCCCAAAAAAGGAAACATGATTCTGTACAATTCAAAAGTGCTGGTGGATGTGGTGGGGACAGGTGATGATTGAGGAATACAGGTCAGAAAGAAGGATACAGTAAAGGCAGATCAGCAGGAAGGAGAGGGGACTTCAACCTGAACAGGTTCTGACCTTAAAAACAACTGCATGGAATCTAACAGCTGCTTTTTCCTACTCTCTTACCACAAAGATCACTGAAGTCATAATATTAAGAAGCAGGAAAATGTGGGGTGGATAGATGGCTCAGGGGTTAAGAGAGCTTACTCCTCTTGCAGAAGACCTGGGTTGGGTTCCTGTACCCACATGTGGCTCACACCTGCCTATAATTCCAGTCCCAGGGGATCTTAAGGCCTTCTCAGGCCTATTCAAGCCTCTGCATGTAATGGTACACATAAACTCATGCAGGCACACGCACACACATACACATAAAAAAATATTTTTTAAAAGAAGCAGGACAATGATTCTTCCAGTCACAGTAGCAGACTCCATTCGCATAGATATCCTATGAAGTTATCTTCCTTTGCCTTAAAAGGAATATAAATTTAGCTCCATAAAATGAATGAGTCCTGTGGGTAGAGGAGGGTATCCCAAGGCATCCTAAGATCTAGAGTCCAGTCTCATGGCCCATACCTCAGTCTCTATCACTTTGTTAGTTGGATTATTCATCCCTGTGACAAATACCTGAGAGAAATAATTCAAAGGAGAAAAGATGTATTTTGGCTAACAGTCTGAGAAGTTTTAGTCCAAGGACAGCTAGCTCCATTGCTTTGAGCCTGAGATGAGGTAGCAGGAGTATGTAGAGGAGGCTATTTAGCTCATGACAGCCAGGAAGCAGAAGTCAGACAGGAAGGGGAGGGGAGTAAGATAACCGTCAGTGATCTACTTTCTTCAACTAGGACCCACATCCTATTTCCCATCACCTTCCAATAACTCCATCAGACCAAGAATCCACTAATGAATTAATCTATCAGTTAGATGAGAGCCCTTATGACCCAATGATTAGACCTACCATCTGGGGACCAAACCTTTAACACATGAGCCTATTTGGGTACCTTTCACATACAAGCCATAATAAGCACTCACTGACACTTAGCAAAGTGAACATGTATTAAGTTGCTTTGTTTCAATTGCATATCTCTGCCACAGGTGATGCTGAATAGTCACTGGACTAGACATCCTCAAGTGTAGAGCTATTCTTACTGTATTTTGTAGTCTCAGAACTTAATACAGTACTCAATATAAAATATGCCCTTACACGCCTGCTTCATGAACGAGTGGAAAATGGGTGCTAGAATTTCCTCTAGAAGATCAGAAAACTTAGAGCACCCTATGGAATTCTTTTTTGATAAAATGCTTCTAACACAAAAATATTTCTATCTGATTTCTGGAGGCTAAATTGAGCAGTGCAGACACATTACAGGGTGAAGAGTTTGAACATATCCTCTGGGTTCTGAACTTTTCCATTGACAGCTGAGCTTGTCACCCAGGGCAGGATATGACTGTATGCAGGCCATTGCCGGAGTAAAAAGTAAATCTCTCCAGTCTTCTAGACAAACAAGGTTATTAGTTCTCATTCTACTAAACTTCTATGATTTTAGAAACATACTCTTCTTCCTAAAAAGACTCCAACAAGAATTCTCTTCTGACTGCACAGTGCTTTGTTTAATCATGTTAATTAGCTCATTCATTGCTGCTGGAGATCTGGCTGCATAGATTGAGACTGGTAATATCCAGTGCTGGGTGATGATAACCTTTCCCATGTGATTTGCTGGTGTGAATGACAGGAGAAGGCCATCCATTAACCTGTACAGTGTGATTTCTCATCCCTATATAGATATTAAATTGCCTCTACAAAAATAAGCATGGGAAATGCCCTGGACTACTCACCCTTCATTAGTATGACAAGATTCCTAAGCAAGTCAACTTAAAGAAGGAACCCTCATACACTGTGGAGGGAATGTACTCTGATCTACCCACTATGGAAGTCAGTCTTCTGGAGTGTCTAAAATTAGATCTACCATATGAACCAACTTTACCACTTCTAGGTATGTATTCAAATGACTCCAACTCAACATATCACAGAAAGCTGTATATTGACCAAAATATAGTCTTAGAGGTTTTAGTCCATGGTCTGACTCTCCTGCTTATGGCTACACAGTGAGGCAGCATCTGATGGTGAGTACATGTGATGAAGCAAAGCTGCTCATTTCATGTGGGCAGGAAGCAGAGAGAGAAAGGAAGGGACTGGGGATAAGGTATACCCTTCAAGGGTACACTCCCCAGAGATCTACTTCCTCTAATTGGGCCCTACCATATCTCAATAATGCTATCAAATTATGAATCCATCAATATATTAACCCATTGATTGGGTCAGAACCCTCAGGAGCCAATCAATTCCAAAAAGCCCCACCTCTGAACATTTCACTGGGGACCGAGTCTCAACAGATGAGTTTTAGGAACCATATCTGAACCATCACATAGCCACTTTACAGAAAGGTATCTTACCCCAGGCCAAGAAAATTTCCAGTAATTACCAGTTTTATCAGACATGTGCAAGAGTTTGGATGGAACAGAATTTGAACTTAGGCTCAGTTTTTCTCTGTCCTGTTTGTTGCTGCAGCAGTGGCTACTGCATGTACATGGGGCAAATGCAGGGAGGGAAGGGAACTAGGTTTCAGCTACCTGTGGGGTGTAGTAAAGAAGCCTAGGGAGCATTGGGGCTGGCAGAACCATCACTCCCCAGACACAGTCCATACAACAGAGAGGTTAATAATGTCATCATCCAGGGCTTACTTTCCCCAATTCTCACTTTGCTTTCCAGTAAGTGAGATGGGCTCAATTTTTAAAGTGAGATTTTTGTTTGATAGTTGCTGAGACACTTGGCTAA